GAGAGAAAAGAGAAGTTTTTATAGTGAGGGTTAGTTAAGGTTTTGTGTATTTCTACATTGGCTTCGATTTTTTTTTCTACATTTGAATCTTATCTCGTTTCCTCTTTCTTTCTTTTTATTTTCAATTGACAAGTTTTTTTTATTGAACCTATATTTCAATTATTTTTGGGTTTGATTTTTCACATTTAATCAATTTGACCCAAAATTCCCAATTTTCAACTTATTTCTCTTTGCTCTCTTTTCCTTTTTTTTTTTTCTCCTTTGGATTATTTTCTCTCCTTTTCTTTTCTTAGCTTGCCTTTTTTTCTTTTTCTTCTCTTCATTTATTTGTTTTCTTTTTCTTCTTGTTAATTTTTTAAACTCCTAAAAATCAAGGATCCTTATAAATCCTAACTCTAGGATAAAAGTTACATAATCAAGCAAATTAAATAAAACATATTAAATTTTCATATTTTTATTTTTTGAAGAAAAATGTGTAAAAGAAAGGGATAAAAAATTATGTGATAACAATTTACACTCTACTTATTACCTTTATCATGATCATCACTACTATCAAAAGTATTAGAATTTCAACCCTTAAACTAAAAAGTTTAATCACTATTACTTATTTATTTTGATATTATTTCGTATCATCCTACCGTAAAAAGCTTAATAAGTTATTGGCTAGAGAAAACTTATGTCTCTAATGATATGTTGGTTAATCTTCTCCCTAGATGTAGGAATCATTTTTTTATTTTTTATTTTTTGTAAATTTCTCTATTAGCAAACCATTTGTTCCCTAGTTGACAATCATAATTGAAACTTATATTTTTTTTAATTTAATATTAATTTGACCATATAAATATTTGGACTAAAAGACATAATGTTAAATTTATCTAAACAATTAAAAAGAGTTTAGAATTTTCAAAAAGTATTTTTTTAAAACTAATAGAGAGTATTAAAAACATTATTTGGTAAGTAGAAAATGCCGCAAGCATAATATAAAAATATTTATTTGTAATAAAATCATGTAGAAATTGTCAAACTAATTTCACGATCTCGAGGCAATAAATTTTTTTGAAAAAAAACTATAATTTTTTATATCCAACTTTAGATTTTGTTTTCTTGGTTTTAGTGCCCAACTGATAAATTTTTCTATTTCGAGTGCTTAATTTTTGATTTTTTTTCTATTTGAGTGCCCATAGTTACATAAGAATATGAAATACTAACATGTCTAGGATGACATGCCACATGGCGATTAATTTCAAATATATTAGTATTTTATACTCTCAAGTAACTATGAGCACCTAAATAGAAAAAATAATAATATTAAAGCTTGGGTATTGAAATAGATGAAATTATTGATTGGACACTAAATAAAAAAATAAATCAAAAGGGTATTAAAATTGTAGTTTTCTCAACTCGTTCCATTCATAATAGTAAGCCTTGGAGGAGGAAGCGAGAACCTAGCATCATTTGGGTTTCTTTTGGGATTGCCTCTTATTGGATCATGTTTGCTCCATCAAAGACTCGCTAGGATAGAGCCTTTTTATAAAAGATTCATCTATTATAGAAGAACAATATACATCAAACAACAAAAACAAAAACAAGATTTGAAGGCAAAACAAAAAGAATGCTTAAAAGGTAGCATAACTATCGTGTAAATTATGAAGCAATGGTAACCTTTAAGCAAAAAGATCGACTTAGAACACACCCTTATATTCCTCACCTAACTCTAAAATGACTAGTGAGCATCCGATTCGAGTGGAATCTTGTTAATGTATACTCTAAGATGTTTTCAAAAAGGATTCCTCCCATATATCCACCAACCTTTCTTAAAAGGTTTGTGCCCCTAATATCTAATAACAAACCACTTATCTCTCTAATTGTCGGATAAGTTTGCACCTCCCACAAATATCTTGTTCGGAAGATCAACCTTTTTTATATAAAAAAAGGTGTACACACGAGACCTCGAGTACTCTCTTTACTCCCATCTTTCGAGTAGAAAGAATACAAACAAAAGCTCTAGTGATGGGACTACTTCGAACTACCAATAAAATTTTCCAAACATAACAAGAACGACCAACCCATCTATGTGAAGTCGGTAGAAATCGTGTTCAAATGCTAGAAGACTTCCTTAATAAATGCGAGATAAAGAAAGTATGAAATTATATTTAATAATACAAGTGGGAACAATAATCTTAATGTTCCCATCAAAGCTTCTAAAAGTTAATCTACCCATCTTATCATTAAGGTTAAGGATAACCGCAAAATAATTTGACCCCAAATACGGAGAGAAGGAATTTATCCTTCGCTCTAAAACTATATTAGTACCTCCATCAACAAGGATAGATGCATGCCTCCGTACATCTCCAAAAGGGGAATTACATCCATATTAAGTTTTTTCCTCTCACCACTAAAGGCGAGTAAGAGACATTTTTCTAACACTCGTCTAAATTATGCATCACCACATGTCCTAAAAAGAAGTTAAAATAGGCTAAAACATAGGATACTATAGAGGGCCCTATGGTTTTGATTTTCCCAAAAGCTTTTCATGCACAAATATTTAGGATTCGCATGTGTTCACATAATTATCAAAGTTATGAGTATTAAATAATCTTACAATACACCCATCAAGATCAAATACGGAAAAGATAAGTAAAAGGTGACTAGTTCCCCCGAACATCCCCAAACACTTGGATGTAACTTAAGTGTTCACCAAAGTATACTTGATAAAGACTCAAGGAGACTATTGATATATATGTATGATTTATCTTGCAACATGTGTCCTTCTTCATCAATGAAAGGCCATCCCACCCACAACACGGCTATAGATGAAGCTATCCCAATCAATCTCTCAAGGTCATATGGTCTAATAAAACTCGAGTGTTTACTACCAATGAGTAGTTTAGACGGAACTCTTGAGAGTTTATCGCCAAAAAGTAGCTTGGATAGAACTCTTCCTCCCACTTGCCAAACAAAAAAGGCATGCATTTAATAAAAGCATAGTTTCATGAAATATATGTCACATCATCACGAAATATGATTGTTCATGTAATCCAAGACATTCGCTTAAAGAGAACCTAAAATTACAAGTAGATGTCGAATTATTATACACAAGCAAAAAAACTAGCATGCTTCCAACTTCAACTCCATGTAAATGGATCATCTCCCTTATTATATAAAGGTTAATACCCTATGTGTTATATGTTCTATCTCCTAAAATCTAAAACCAATAAAGTATCATATATTTTTTCCTACTAAGAGCTAAATGCCTTTAAGTTTATTCATGTCTAATATCTCTTTGTATGCTAATGAAGCCATTAGAGAATCCTTCAAACAGTAGAGAAAGATTTGTTTTATAGATATTCACCAATGATTCAACAATCAATAACATGTATCAACTACACGATCGATCTAGATTAAAAACCATCCAACCATTGAGTTATGAGAATCATTGCCCATATACGTGTGTGTTTGGTACCAATAGTGTGATCATATAGTATTAGTTAGTTACTGGAGTATGATACCAGTCCAAGTCTAAGAAACAGTTTTGTTGGTTTCTGAGTTCGATGAGATATCAACAACTGACTTTGATGAAGAGTCTTCACTTGATTTCCCACCCTTGTTATTTTCGGTCATGGCAGAACTTCTAGGGGAGAGGTTTTTTTTTTTTTTTTTTTTTTCAGTAGCAAACTTTAACACCGATCGTGCTTTGGATGGGCTAAGTATCATGGTCGGGCTTGGTGAGTGTTGGGCAGGCTCGGGATTCCCCATAGGGCCAGGAGTCAACACCATGAGCCACACCAATACTTTTATTCTTAATATATTTATACTATGGCCCGAAAATGTTAATCCAAATTTGGTTGCTAAATTTACTTTGTCTCCGGTCTCTACTACCAGTTGTTAGACCATCACTCCAACAATATGAGCTATTAATCAAGCAATCTCCATTTCGTTGAATTTTCATTCTGCATAGAAGATTTATTGAGTTCACATGCAAAATATGCAAATTATAGTATTGTGACTTTAATTTTACTAGCTGCAATATGTCCTAAATCATCCACCAAGCTTGAACTTTACTTAATTGATAAAATTTTGGTTGGCACAGTTGTGTAATCAATCACTCGTTAATTCCTTTTCGATTTTTTAACAAAATTTTCAATATCATAAAAAGCTTAATACTCTTCAAAGAGTTTGCTAATGCAAATTTATGTTTCTTTCCTCCATTGCTAAGCCATGTTATATGCATGTATAATAGTCAAACCAGCTCTTTACTCAACCATAAAGGTAGCAGTAATACGACTACTAAAGAAATCATCGAATATTTATTGGTTTGTTAGGCCCAAACATCAAGAAATATATTGGAGAACACTTTGCCTACACTAACAATTTTGAGAGAAAACTTAGTCTTTATAATAATAAAAAATTCAACATACAAATATACATTCACCACCTCTATATACCCTCTTTTACATACCCAAAGAAATATCTCTCGTCTTGTGCCGTAACACTACGTTCCATATTTATAACTTCTTATATCATGCATGACAATAAATCCTTAATTTTGACAAGATAATCTTATTCCAAACTTGATCAAGTAGCTTATCTTAACAATTAATGGCCCTCTGGTTATAGGGCCTGCATCCGCTGCATGTGGTTTTATAGTAAGGAAAAATAAACCATCATCAAGTTGCTCCTACTAGTTTGATTAACATCCATTACAAATTGAGTAGACATGATTTTTAGTCCCTGAACTTTCAGTTGAATTTCTCATCTTTACTTGCAACAATAACACAGAAAACAAAAGAGCACCAAATTTTGCATTGGAGAGATAAAGTAATGCCTACAATCTCGAGGTTGATTTTGCCTAGTTCACAGTAAATTTGAGGACAAAAGGAAAAGGAAAAAGAAAAAAGAGATTTCCCAGTTGAGAAACACATTGGGTCATCTAAAATTAGTCCATTTCATTGACAAAAGCCTCGTGCTCTTTTGCCTTCCTTCTCATGCATCAATCTCTTTCACCTGGAGATGTCACATTGTGGAGGGTAGCCTAACTGTTCAATCTCCCAGCTTAGCTTTGAGGCCACTATTTCATGTCTTGGAAAATACTCCTGATACAAATTAATAAATGTATAACTATTAAACTGTACGGACAACTGAAATATCAATTGTATTTTAATCTAAGTTGGGTGGAGGTCAAAAAAACAAGGTTGCATTGTAACATGAATAATTATTACAAGAATAAGAACAATTCTTAAGAATATTTGAAGTGTTAGTAATTAGAAAGGTAAATTGTTAGTGGAAAAAAATACAAAATAGTTAAAATGTTAGTAATGATCGGAGAGACAGAACTTCAAATTTTAAAATGATAACATATATAGCCACATTATTTCAATCAAATGATGTTAAAAAAAAAAAAGATTCGAAATTGAGGTAAATAAAACACTAATATATTTTATATGCGTAACATTAAGGGAAAAAAGGAAAAATTGTTATTTTATTATTATTATTTTTTCAATTGAACACAACAAAAAGCGGCTGTGTTTTTAATTAAAAGATGGGGGTGTCCTGTTTTGTTTCAAAATTAAATCAATATTTTTTTAAAGGGATACGTGTTTTGATTTCAAAATAAAAGCTTTTATACCAGAAAGAAATCTATGCGTTACCTCCATTTTCTTGACCAACTCTCGTGAGGTAGGGGCGGATACTATTATATGGCGTGCAGTTGGACTAATGAAGCCTTCCTCTACTGCTTTGTCAATGAACGACAACAAGGAGTTGTAATATCCATCCACATTCAGTAATCCCACCTGCAAGAGATAACACCTACTGTGAACTGTCATTCTGCTTCAACACTTGCTTTCTAAAATCAAATTCTACTACTGCCTATTTCCCAATTTTTGCCAAGAAACGAAAAAAATATATACTTCAACAAACTGGGTTTTATTGCAGTTCAGGAGACAAATTAAATAGAAGGGAAAGGTGCTTTACCGGTTTGTCATGGATGCCAAGTTGGGCCCAGGTTATGACTTCAAGAAGTTCTTCAAGGGTCCCATAACCACCTTCATTCACATCCCAACAAAAATCCTCAATACCAGCTACTAACATACTGCTAATATCAGTTTTGCAAATTAATAATAGAGGATCATTAGTATTAGTTTAGCTTTTGAGAGATTTTTTTCTTTTTCTTTTTCTTTTTTTAATCTCAGAAACAAAATTTAGATGATTTCGTAAAGCCTAAAATCTCATATGTCTGGATAAGCAAGTAGATTATAAAATAGTCCCTCTTATTTTGATAAATAAATTATTTAGTACTCCATGTTTTAAAAATTAATTATTTAGTACGGATGATGGTTTAGTCCTTCAAGGGCCAGCTCTAGTCTTGCATATAATATGTGCACAGTAGGCCCAATACAGCAATAGTTTGGATAAAGTTTTATTATGGGCCAGAAAATTATTGGGCTGGCCTCTTTTCAGTGCCAATCAGGGCCTGTTTCTCAAAAAAAAAAAAAAAAAAAAAAAACCAATACTCCTATGATTTGCGCTAGGTCAGCTGGGAGAAGGACCATTTGGCAGAAGAGTTTGTAAGGTGGCAATTTCTTTTGTAGGTCTTTTTTATTCTCAAAGTGGTCAAACCGGATGTTCCCATTATATAAAAGACATGCAGAGGCAGGCCAAGGAAAGTAGCTAGCTAATACTGTAGCCCAGAGCGAAAATGAATATTGACCGCAGAAAATAAGGGTTCCTCAGAATCCTCATTTTCAACGTTCGATGCTTATGATAACAATGAAACCTGTGGCTAAAGTTTTCATGGTTGCTCTTTTGTCATTCTTGCCGTCTTTTAAAGTGAGACCAAATTCTGAGCAGATCATAGTTTCTATCTTAGCATGGGCAGAATTGTGATGCCCATTACATATTTATTTAGCCGACGCATTTGCTATTTTTTTTCAGCATTTTAATTAATGCATTCATGAACAAATTTATGAGGATTTGGATTACTAGCTATTATATCTATATATATATATATATATCTATATATATATATATATATATAAAAGCAACTGTAAGCTTGTACGAACCAGGTAAAGCAATAAAAGCATCTGAATGTCTAGCCATTTCAGCCTTCCTTTGGTGCATATCAGCAACAGCCTTCACTTCCCCTACTGTTTCTCCAGTGATCTGCACAATATGCAGTATCCAAGTCAACAAAGAACAATGCACAAAAGACGCCAAGTCTTTTTCAAAACAAAGAGTTATCCGAGAAACAATGATGAGTGGCAGAGGTGGTGGGCTCAAACCAAAGTGATAAAGCAGAAGAGAAGGAAAATGCAAGAAAATACGGACACGCCCATATTACAATAAAGTCTCATATATATATATATATATATATATTTAGTATCATGCTTTATCGAAGATGACCAAGAAGAAGAAAAGAAAATCCTCAAGTATTGGACCTATCATAAAAATCTAAGGAAGTAGCCAAATAAAACGTATTAGAGAGGGACAAAATGGTGAAGACTCAGATGCCACCAGGTAGATTGATAGGCGAGTTCATTTAAAAAAAAAAAAAAAAGAAGTGAAATTCTATAAATTTTTGGAACCAATAAAAAGTCTCTCACTTATTTAGAACATTATTAAGCCTCTAAAGAGACACGTATGAAAAGAAAAAACAGAGAGAGATAACAAAAGAGAGGTAGAAATTCATGTGAAAGTAGGTACCACAAAAGATTTTTAAAGAAAGAATTAAAGTAAAAGAGAGACGAAAATCATTCAAGAAAAATTAGAAAAACGAGCAGATAATTTATCTTCCCACATGCATAAACAGGTTTGAAAGGTTGAAGCCCTATTACAGTAAGAGAAGAGGTACCTCTCGAGGCATGAGTGTCTTGGGGATAACTCTGCAGACAACCAAATGACAAAAATTAGTAATTATTCACAGAAAAAATAAGAGAGGAGATAGAAGAAGGAACAGGCCTTACCCAATCACATGGCAGCCACCATTGAAAACAGCTTTAGAAATTAACCCCATTAAACCAATACTCCCTCCTCCATAAACCAGGTCAATATTTCTTGATACCTTTTAAAAGAATGAAAAGAACATCAAGTACCGGACGGTAATAAAAAAAACCCCTGAAAGTACATTTTATCTCTCAGGAGCAGGAAAGAGAACAAGAAAAGGATGTAATATTATTTTTATTTTCTCTCATCTTGGTTCAGCACATTCATTAAGTAACTGAGGACATGGATGTATAATGTAGCTCAGAGAAACCAAATTAGGTGCATGAATATAAAGCAGAGAAAGTGGTCATCAACGTCCATGAATCAGATTTCTTAAAACCCAACAAAACAATGTAAGAGAAAGTAATGATCAACAATAATCACAAATGAATTTTTTCATCCAAGAGGGAAATAATTTAACAGAGAGTAAGGCAGAGCCCTAACAGAGGAATCAGAATGGAAAACCAAAACAAGAAACAAGTTGTAACAAATCCAAGAAAACTTGAAAGAAGGAAAATTTGAATTGAAAGCATTGGAAAGTAGAAAAAAGAAGAAGACGAACTTGAATTGTAAAGAAAGAAAAGAAAACAAGAAAAACAGGGGCCAAAACAGAGAACCAAATATGTTTTTCTTATTACCAATTCTTTTCCAAGCTCTACAGCAGCATCCTTATAGCTGCTTTTCTTTCCTGGACTACTACCACAAAACACGCAAATCCTCTTAAATTTCGATTTCTTCATTTCCATTTCCATCTCCCTCTCTCCCCCTCTTTTTCTTTCTTTCTCAGAAAACAAAGAAAAAGAAATGTTATGAAGAAATATCCTCTCTTTCTCAACCCCTATTAGTGACCCACCAATACCAGTTGATATCAGAACCAGTACCAGTACCACACAAGCTTGGCTAAGTTTGAGAGTGGGTTCGCGCATATATATAACGGTGGCACTGGCGTACGTTAGCATGCATAACTTTCCATTTTTATTTTTATTTTTATTTTTTGTGTTTGTAGTCTATAAACCTTTAGTGCTCAGGGTTATATAGGAAATGTTTGCCTTACCTCCACTCTTACCTACATAGCTTACAAACCAATCAAATTTATGTATTATTTTATCAACTTATCCTTTTTTGATAATATTATTCTCACTCCATAGTTTCTTATTCTAATCTGCATTCAATTTTCATTATTAAAACTCATCAAAATACTTTTAATTTATATGTTTTAAAAAATGATTATCGTCAGGACCACAAATCCCATAGCTTGACAACGTTAGTAGGTAATATATTGATGATTCTAAGTACGGCAATTACAGAACATGTCAACATATATGTTTTATTTATTTATTTATTTTAACAAGGACAACACATACGTGATATGATAGTTAAATAATAAATATGTCAAAACATTGATAATAAATATACCTCTTAATATAATAAATAACATGTTGATTTATTGACAAATACATCAATCACTCTACTTACGTGTCCCATTTGACATTGGGGTATCATGAACTCATAACATATAACCATGTTATTTCAACAATTAACGATATCAAATGTTAACGAATTCATACTTAAATCTATCATTTAACTATATATAAAAAAAAAAAGAGCATACAAACAGACAAAAAACATTCAAATTTCACTTTTTGGTCATTTTCTATCATCAAATCTAATTTGCTTTTCTAAAGAAGTTTTGTTAGAGAAATATTTGGTTTGTGTTTCTCATGCATGCATGTTCTTTCGGCTGTTGTTGTTTCTTAGAATATGCATTCGGTGCTGTCTTTTTAATCCTTTGCTTGACCATTAATTGGCATATATACTTGAGTTTTACAATGATTTAAACCTTATAGTTAAAATTAATTTTAAATTAGTTGAAGGTATATACGTACCAAAGAGCTGAGTAGACACGATCGAGTTAGTTTCTTCAACTATTTAATAATATATGTTCGACTTAACAAATTTCACATGTGAAAGCATATGGAAGTAAAAAATGATTAGTTTAAGTTGCTGCTGATTTAGTCTTGTTGGTCTTGTGATCCATTCCTTGACATGGTCATATCTTTCTTTAAATAGTCTCAAACCAAAAGAAGCTGAGACTTAATTTTGCAGCTGGCACACCCCATATTTGCAGATAGTTACCCATAACTTTGACGAAAAAAAAATCCTATCACATGTGATTGTACAGATAAAAATTTGGAATTATTAAATTTATGTGTTTTCACATTAAAATTGTTAGTTGCTTTTTTATTTTTATTCAAGGAAGAGGTAAAACTGTGAAAAAATTTTGTATATTGCAAAATTTAGGAGTAGCAGCTCCACAAATTTTCTCTAACACAACATAAGGAAGCATCCAGAGATTAAAAAAAAAAAAAAAAAGACGAATCACTGGTAAAAAAGAATAGACGTCAGAAGCAATCTAATTCACGTACGGTAGGATTGACTGACTTCTCTGTAAATATGACAAAATGCAAATTTTTATTTTATTCAACTTTAATTTTATGACTAGAACCAAGTGAAAAGTCATTTAATTAATTTGCTACGTACACCTTGTATGATTAAATATCCTGGAAGGAGAAGATGGTTTTGATTCAGAATTAGCATATATTAATAAGGTGCTCCATGCATGATATAAGGCCGGCTGACTTATCCTTCTAAAAGAAAAAAAAGAAAAGAAAAAGGACCAAATAATTCCCCACGATGAAATTTGAGGTATCGCACAAAACTTTAGTCGGTAGCGTTCACAAGCGAGCATGCATTGAATTACAAATTCTTTTTACTTTAGGAACGTAATAATGCAATGTAAGCAAAAATTCCCATACATTACGTCGGTAGTCGGTTGATCCCCTTATTCATCAGTACCAATTCCTCGACTTGTCAATTTTTCAGCACCAATTAAACTTTACATTTCATTCTATTTATTGTTCAATTCATATATAGCATTATATACCTATAGAGAATGTTTAGGCTGTTCTTTTTTCTCTTTTGTCTCTCTTTTTCTTCTTTTTCTTTTTTAATAGAATAAATTCCATTCACTCTTCTTTTTCTATAGCAACCATTTGAGTATATAATTTTGTCCATTATCTTTTGGTTTATGTTTTGTATACGTTCATCTATATCACGCGCCAGGATTGAATGTAATTAGAATCCAAATTGAAATGGTTCTGATTTATAATGAATAATTTTCTCATCTGTGGACACAAATATAATTAAACCATGTAAAATACTGTATTTTGAGTTCTTTTTGTCCCAAAGTGATAGTTGTTTTTAATTTTTTTATACAATATAAGAAATCTATTAATCATAATGTTATATCAACATTTTTAACAACATTTGTCTAATATATATATATATATTGTTTAAGAAAAAAATCTATCTAATTTAATCTTGCATTATAAAATAAAAATATTTTTAAAAATACCATATTTAACACTTTAACCACACAAGTATTTTAAACAGATATAAATAGAAAGAAAAATAATTTTTTTTAAAACAGAGAAAATATGTTTTTTTTTCCTTCTCGATCTTTATCTTTTATTGTAGCAAGTTTTTTTTTTTTTCCTTCATCGTAACAACACCATCTAGTGTAAATCCTTAAAGTCACAAGAGAGAGCTAATGTGGCTGATGACCCATCTTAGTTGTACCGTCAACTACCTTCCCTTACAAGACAGTTTGTTGTATGCATGGGAAACATTTATAATTTTATTCGAAAAAGAAACAAACCTCCTCCATTTCCTCACATTCTCACCCTCACCTGTACCAAACCATGTTGTCTCAAGCCCTAGCTCCCCTACTCCGCTAAAATTCTTTGCCTAATATTTTTTTTTCTTTTCTTTTAACTAAACTATAACCAAAATTTCTTTCAACATTATTAAGCACATTCCAATCTTCTAGAAAACCTATTATAACAGCAGAACTTCTTTGGACTTTAAGACATTCAACAACATATTGAATGTGTGGCTTCAATGGCTGAATAATTAATGTGTTGTTATTATAAGTGATTTGATATATATATATATATATATATATATAGTAATGTATTTTTAAATTAGTTTTAACATACATTAAGATTAAACTCACTGCTCTCTAAACTAAATCAACGTCAAATCATATCTAATTTTTTATTGATTTTAAATATTGAATTCATTCTTTTAAATCTATTAATAATTTATATCTAATACCACGAAAAAAAAATAAGAGGAATGTTTTCAAAAAAAAATCGAACTCTTAATTAAATAAATTGAAAACATTTTTTTTATCAGTAACCTTCACTAATTCATATGATTTATGAAGTCCACAGGAAACCTACCGTTTCGCTTCAATTGAATTGCATATTGGACTCATGATCTCATATATGCGTCACTTCTAGCAAGCCACTAGTTAGGTATTAATTAAGTCTATCTTCTAGTTTGATTTCTTTTTCTATGTTCCCTTCTTCAAAAGCTAATGATCTCAATTAGTTCATAATTTGATAGGTTTAATGCCAAGCTAAATGGGTAGAGCTAGTGACAATTCGGCACCGAGTTGCGTGTCTGAATATTCCTGCCTGGTTATATCGTTCTCGTCAACAATGACAATTACCTTTTTTCTAATTCGTTGATCATTACCTAACATTCCAGGAGTTGAGTGTTTAATCACCCCAAATTTGTGAGAAAAAAAGCAAATGATCAGTACATAAATTGATTGAACTTTCTCCTACGTACACACAGTCATGTGCTTAGTGATAACATTTTCAACATTATTGTCCTAACAAAACAAGGTGTACTACCGTGCCACAATTATCATGTGGTGTCATATTTTCACCACCAGCTACTTTATTTGGATGAATCTTTTTGTTTATTTATTTATTTTTATTTTTTAATGTGGTCTTTTTAGTTTTTATTTATTTATCATTTTTTATTCTAGATGTTTTTTGAATGTGGTTTTATATATATATATATATATATATATATATAGGAGTTCAATCAATTTCTCGATAATAAATGGCAAATATTCTGTTACTTGAGACAAATTCGACATGTGAAAAAAATAACTTCAAAAAATACTTAATAAATAAAAAATAAATTAATAAATGAAAACAATAATTTTTTTTTATAAGGTGTCATTCTACATGATACTTCCATCTAATGTCAAATGCTAGCTACATGTCATTAATTATATATAAAAAAAAAATTAGACAAAATCCTACTGGAAAGGCCATATTAGAAAAAAGAAAAAAAAAACAAAAATCTACAGTAAAGAGAGATGTCATAAATTAAAAAAAAAAGAACAACAAATTTTAAAATACTGAAAAAGTAATTAATAATAGTTATTTTATAAATCTATTTTAAGAAGAAAATTAAAAAAATGTAAAATTTAAACCCACTAAAATCGATAAGAGTATTTTTATCTAGTCTACATTTTTTTAAAAAAATATTTATACATCTTTTTTTTTCTTTGTGTTTATCTCTTTTTATAGACTAAATATTGTTAATTATGTTGAAGTGAGATAATTTTTTTAAAATCACATATTAAAATTTTTTTGGAAAATAGAGTTAAAAATTATGCGATTAAATCATCACGCAATAAGTACGCCGGCACATGCTGTAACACGATCGGCCGCCGTAGCATCCATTACGCATTTTTTTTTTAAAAAAAATGCTACTGTTTTTCTTATATTTTTGTAAACTATTAGTATCATTTTTTTCTTCTTAATATAACTTATGTATTGACAATTAATAGTTTCTCCTTACTTGATTTATATAAACATTAATAATATGTTTTTTTCTTTTCCTTTTTTCACTCAACCGAGGCAGGACGAGGCGGGTGGAAGAGATGTGATTGATTTATGTTTAATATGATCAACATGACATTAATTTTTATTGTTGTCTCTATTTGATGACGAGAGACATTTTCAAAATATAGAATTTGCATGTTTGATTCACCTCTCTATACATTGTCTTGTGCATGTTGGTTTAGAATGCTGCTTTAAAGACATGCATTCTTCTCTCATTTTATCTCATTATAAATTTCTTATTTATATATAAAGAAATTTTTGGGCAGATCATGTTGGAAAAATAAAAAAAATATTATCTGAAAATGTTGAATGGAAAAATATCGAACAACTTTATCGGAAATTTATAGGTGACTTGTCTTGATATATAACTAGATTGTTTTTTAGGACGATACGCACTATCCGTAAAATTTTATCCGATGTAACGGATCAAAGATATATTACACATTGTCCTAAAGATACAACAAGCTCGGTTATCTTATCGTGTCTTAATAAATTTTCACTACTTGTAATAGCTGGAACTCAATTATAAACTAGCATCACTCTTACCCAAAGAAAAATTAACAAAAAATAATATGGCTTTTAGTTGGAAACCAAAGCAATAAAATTGAAAGAAACTTTTTTTTTCTCTAAAAAAAATAAAGAAAAAATGCTTGCTATTTTTTAAAATGAGAAATTGTTGTTGTTGTAGTTGTTATTCATCAAATGCCAAGAGCCGTTTATATAGGAAAAAGAAAAAGTGTTTGTTGGACAACTAAATTAATAAAACAAATTAAATGATTTAAATAGTAAAAAGAAAAAAACAATGTTGAGGATGAATGCAAAAAACCATTTGTTCATTGAATAAAAAAAAAGCTGTTGCAGCTTTTTTTTTTTTTAAAGTACCATTCAATGGTATAAGTTATGTTGAAATACTACACATTATTGTTTTAAAATAGTAATTTATAAGTTTTTTTTTTAATTTTGAATATCTTATTAAAAACTATTTTATTAAAAAAATAACTCAACAATCCTCGACTTATTTTTTTATAAAATATTAGCAATATAATTTTAGATAGGGAAACAAATATAATACATAATAACGGTGCCAATGACTTTAACTCTTACTTAGTGTTTCAACAATATTTTTCTCAAGCCAATAGTGAATTTTGTCTTGAACTAAGGTTTTTTAAGTGAAAACAATATTGTATCACATATATTATATTCGAGTACTTTGCGATGAGTTTCAAAGCAAGCACATTAACAACCTTGTGCTTAATCCCGTGTTTTATGAGTGTTTTAGAGAATTAGCCTAATTCTTAAAAGAAGTGGTCCCACTTACTCACTCATATACGTGTGTTTATCAAGAATATTCCTATAACTCTAATATCCTATTCAATAAGAGCTATATACCACAATAAGAGTTTCCTCTAAAGAAACTTAACCTTTCTTTCGTTATGGGATTCATGCACTTGTACCATAGGGATGAGAAAATATGTTAATGCACGATAATCAACTACCCTTATGATTCATTTTTCCCTTTGAACCTAGGTAGATCTTGGGATCTCCAGATCAATTAGGTAGGGTATCCTCATAGGTAGTTTATTTATCTTGAGGCTTTAGACCCATCTCCCTCGATGCTATACAAATCTTATCTTTGGCCAAAGCTTTTATGAAAGGATCGGCTAAATTATCCTATGTATTGATATAATCAACATTTATGGCACTTTTGTTTATATATGACCTCATAGAATTGTTTTTCTTCTAACATATCTAGATTTTTCATTATAATATTTATTGTGTATAGTTTTAATAGCAACTATGCTATCACAATGAGTTAAGCTAGATGGAACATGTTTTTTCCACATAGGAATTTCATATAAAAAGATCACGTAACCAACCTACTTCATTACTAGCTAAGGCTAGAGCTATCGATTCTACCTTCATAGTGGATTTTGCACTTATTGATTGCTTTTTAGATTTCCAACATAGTGCTCCTTCACCTAAAGTAAAAACATAGCCAATGGTAGACAATGAATCACCGGATAAGATGTTCTAATCAACATTGTTGTATCCTTCAAGTATAGTAGAATATTTATAAGATAAAAAATCATAATTCATTGTACCTTTTAAGTATCTCATTAGATGAGTTATTGAATTCCATTATTCAGTATTGGGTTTGCTAGTAAATCTTGTTAGTACCCCAATAGTAAAAGCAATATCAGTGTCTTATACCGTTTATAACATACCTAAGACTACCAATAATACTAGCATACTCTTTTTGATAGTGAATGCCATTATCATTCTTTGTTGGACATATATGCATAGAAGTATCAAAAGGAGTTCCCACAAGTTTGCTATCTAAAAAATCATATTTTTTTCAAAAGCTTTTCAATATAATGAGATTGATCAATAAATATTCCACTTGAAACTCTAAAGACTTTCATGCTAAGAATCATATTTGCTTCACCTAAATCCTTCACATCAAAATTATTTTCAAGCGATAATTTAGTATTATTAATAATGTTCATGTTTGAATAAAAAATTAAAAGATTATCTCGCATATAAGCATATAATCATATGAACATTCTCGGATGATTTATAATATATGCACTTGTTACTTTCATTTGCTTTAAAACCATTATTAAGTAAACAAGCATCAAATGTTTCATGCCATTATTTAGGTGCTTTTTTAAAATCATATAAAGATTTTTGTAACTTACATACCTTATTTTCATCACCTTATGCTCGTAAAACCGTCGAGTTGATCCATATATATTTCTTCTTCTAAATCTCCATTTAGAAAAGCCGTCATTACATCCATCCGATGTATAAACAAGTTATGAACAACAACAACAACAACAACAATAAGTAATCTAATAGATGTTACTTTAGTTATTGGAGAAAAAGCATCAAAGAAATTAACATTTTCTTTTTGTTTAAAACCTTTAAGCTGCTAGTCTAGCTTTGAACTTTTCTATGGACCCATCAAGATTCAACTTCATTTTAAGTACCCATTTACATTCATTTGTCTTACAACCAGGGGGTAATTCAACTTTTTTCCAAGCATCATTTGAAATTAAAGAATCCATTTCATCATTAATAGCTTCTCTTCTCTCCAATAATATGCATCATGAGAAGATAAGACTTGTTCTAAAGAAATAGGATCATTTTGTACATTATATAAGTAGTAATCAGAATCAAAATCTTTTTCAAATTTGAATTTTTTACTTTTTCTAGGTTCAATATCATTTTCATTTTCAAATCTTGAAGAAGAAGGTTCAATACTTGGTTGAAGAATCATACCCCCATTATTTTCTACTTTAAAAGGAAATTTTTTTTTCATGAAAAATAGCATTCAAATATTCAATAATAATTTTATTATCAAAATTAAAAAATCTATAAGCTTTACTATTCAAATCATAACTCAAACAAGCACAAGTAGAATTTTTTTTTCAAAGAAGTTTTGGTCTTTTAGGATCAAGTAGTCTAACAAAAGTTAAACAACCCCACACTCTTAAAAAAAAATCTAATTTTGGCTTTTAACCTTTCCATAATTCATGAGGAGTTAAAAATGTGATTTTAAGAGGAATTGTATTTAAAAAAAAAATTACGGATAAAATAGCTTCACCCTATAAATTCTTTAGAGCATTAATTCTAATAAGCATATAATTTATTAGATCAATTAAAGTTTGGTTCTTCCTTTTGACTACACCATTTGAAGAAGGTGAATATGAAATTGTAACTTCATTCATAATACCATTAGTTTGCATAAAATTATCAAAAATAATAGAGCCATATTCCATACTTCTATCACTTCAAGCTTTTTGATCTTTTTACCAAATCCGTTTTCAGCTTCTTTTGAAAAATTAGTAAATTTTTCAAAAGCTTCATTTTTATACTTCATAAGAAAAGCATTTGAATATTTTGAGAAATCATTAATAAAAATTTATAAAATAACGATTACCACCATGAGTTAGAATACCACTAAACTCGCACATATCAATACGTATTAGTTCTAATAATTTAAAATCATGATCAACACTTTTAAAAGGTTTTCTTGAAATTTTATGCATGATAGAAGATTCATATTTTTCAAACTCATTTTCAAGTTTAGGATTAAACCAAGATTACTCAAGTTTTTCACATATTTGTAATTTATATGACATAATCTACCATGCCAAACATTCACACAAGAAACAATGTAAAAATAAGTGGATCTTTCATTATTCATTTTAATATTAAGGTTAAACATCCCATCACAAGCATAGCCTTTTTCAACAAATAGGTCTTTTTTGGAAAATGCATATTATTTAGGCTCAATAATTTTCTTAAAGCCAACCTTATTCAAGAGAAAACTAAAAACTAGATTCTTATGAATTTTTGATGCATGCAACACATTTTGAGAGTAACCTCTCTTTCGTATGTAAATTTAATAAGTACATCTCCAATCCCCAATACATCGGTAGTTTGAGAATCACCGACCATTTTTTTTCATCCAAGATTGTATAAGTCTTGAATAAGTTTTTTATCATAAAAGACGAGTCCGAGTAGCTCTTGAAATAATGTAAACATAAGTGGATCTTTTATTATTCATTTCAACATTAAGTTTAAACATCTCATCACAAGCATATCGTTTTTCAACAAATAGGTTTTTTTTTTTTGAAATACATATTAGTCGAGATCAATAACTTGCTTAAAGCTAGCCTTATTGAAGAGAAAACCAAAAACTAGATTCTTACGAATTTTCGATGCATGCAACACATCTTTGAGAGTAACCTCTCTTTCGGATGTAAATTTAATGAGTATATCTCCAACCCCTAACACATCGATCATCGTGAGAATCACCAAGCATTATTTTT